GACACCCTTGGGAGCCTCGGGGGCCATCTTGGGGCCATCTTGGAGGAGATCGGTCAAAGGAGGGGAGCTCCCGAGTTAGGGTCCCCCACCCCTGAGGGCCAACATGTGGCCAGCACCTGAGTAACATCAATGATTTGCGCCTTCTCGCAGAGGCCGTTTTGGACGCTCTGACTACCCGCGACCCCGCCGTCCAGGTCCAGGGGTAGGGGATAGGAGGTTGGGGTCAAGGCACGCTGCTAGATAGCAAGCCGTCCAGCTCACCCCCAACCGCCCTCCCAACACTCAATTAACACCCGAGCCTCGGTATGTTCAACGGCCGTCTTTGGATGGACAGCGACTGGGAACGCAAACCGACCTGATGTGCGCGACGCTGGGGCGAGGTGCGCCACGCATGCCAGGCGCGCCACGCGCGCCACGCGCTCCAGGCACCCCTGGGGCCCGAGCGTGCCAGGCACGCCTGTTGCGCCAGCTGCGCTACGTGCTTCACGTGCGCCAGGTGTGCCGCATACTCCAGCCGCGCGAGGTGCACCACGTTCGGGGCACGTGCGGAGTTTTTTTAGGTGCGCCTGCCCACGTGACAGCTGACATCGGGAAACATGTCGGCCCCCACCATCCTTGTCGAAAACCAATGCCGATCATGGTGTCTGGTGCCTGCACACAGCAGGCCATGCGCCACCACCCCCGCCGTCCTGTCAAAAAACACTTGACAGTGATCGCGGTGTGGCCGCGCATGATCCAGATTTAGCCGCGCAGTGCATTTGGCATTGTTTTTGACAGGGATGGTGGCCCTGCGCACAGCAGGCAATATGCTGACAGCTCCGCCGTCCCTGTCAACAAACAATACACAGTGCCCGCGGGCCTCACGAGCATGACCTCAGACTTTGCCCCAAAGTGTACTTTGTATTTTTTGAGAGGGATGGTGGGGAGGACCCGCATCGGGTTGGTTGCGCAGGCTTTGAATTTGGAGGCAGAGTGTGTTTTGTATGTTTTTTGGTAGGTATGGTTGGGGGCTGGGGAGCATACGGTCGGCATTGTTCCTGGTTGGGCTGCCGGTCGCCTGGGGGAGGGGGTGTATATCAATAGCGAACAGTGATGAACCTCGCCACGAAGAGAAGAATTGGGGGCTGGAACAGAAAAAACTCTAAACCACTTACGCCCTAAAGGGCTGGTGGGATTCGTGCTTCGGTGCGGATCAGAAGCGCGCCTCGTGCCCGTCGGCGTCGTCGTCGTCCCCGTCGTGCTGCGTGTTGCTCTGCCCGGGACCTGGACCTCACCCCCTGGGCCGCGCACGTGCCACCGGCCATGATTTGCGCCCCTCCCTCTTTGACGCCCCCCGCTTGGCCGCCCCCGGCTTGCCTCCGAGGCTAGCTCGCAACATCTCTTGCCTCCCGGGGCACGGGGCACCACTCTGCTGGGAGGCGCGCCGTTGCCGCCGCCGCGCGATCTGTGCGGGGGCCCGCTCGGCCCGCTCGGCGGGAGCAGCTGCGCCTTGTCCCGCGGCGGTTCTCCGAATATGTGGTATTGCGTAATGCCAATGCCCCCTTGGAATGGTAATCTGTGGTAGTATGCAGTAATATGTGGTAATATGTGGTAACTTGTGCCGAATACGTGGTAATATATGTATATACACACGTTAATATGTAGTCCCCTCCCTTTCCGCATTATCCTTTTGTTACTGCTGCTGCTTCTGATGCTTCTGCACTTTCCTCACAGCGGCTGTTCCTCCCCTGTGCCCTCTTCCACTCCGCCTCATCCTACCCCTCCGCGTCTCCTGCCTCCTCATCTTCCCGTCTCCTGATCCCCCGCGTCCACCTCGTCGCCCCCTTCCCACACTCCTCCCTCCTCTTCCACCTCCCCTCCTCCACCTCCCCTCTTTCCTCCTCCCCCTCAAGCTCCCCAGTGCCTCCTCCTCTTCTTCTCCCTCTTCCTCCTTCTCTCAATCCTCCTCCTCACTCTTCCCCATCTCATAGCACCCGTCCTCCCCCCTCTCCTGTCTCCTGCCCCCCTCCTTGTCCTTGTTTGTCCTTGTCCTGTGTCTCCGGCCCTTCGCGCAGGTCGCACGGCGTCCACGATCCGATTCGACACCGTTGCTGCCAAACGCGACTGCCATCGACGCCGAGGAGGACCAGAAGGAGAAGGAGGAGGGGGAGGAGGAGGAGGAGGAGGAGAGGAGGAGGAGGAGGAGGAAGAGGATGAAGAACCTGCAGTATCCTTCTCCTTTCCCGCTCCCTCTTCCCTCCTCCCTCTTCCTCTTCCTTCTCCCACCTCCCCTCTCCATCTCTCCCTTATCCTCCTCACCCCCTTCCTTTGTTCTCCTCTTCCTTTCCTTCTCTTCCTCGGATTTCCCCCGCTCCCTCCCCCACTCTCTTCGTTCCGCGTCCTCGCCGCCGTGCAAGGCGGCGGAGACTACAGGTCGCCCCAGCAGGATTATCGAGGGGAGGACCCGGCTCGCCCCCACGCTCGCCCACGAGGAGGGGAAGCGAGGATGATAAGAGGTGAAGGATTAGAGGAGGGTATGTGTGTGTGTGTGTGTGGGGGGGGATATGTGCGTGTGTGGGTGTGTGCGTGTGTGCTGAGAACGATTCTGCATCTCCTCTGGCGCTGCATTTTTTCGTGACGTCGGCCCCGCGGGCCTCCGACCACTGCCCGGGTTTCGCGATTGTCATCCTGAGTCGCTATCTGACGCTCCCCAGGCTGTGGAAACGGCCACCACAGGCTGAAAACCAGGAAGAACCAGTCGTCGTGATCTTTTGGCGTCGCCCAGATCTGAGGGGTGGTGAGAAGATAAAACGCGTGGATGGGTGGGGACCTATCTGATGTTCCAGATCCAGGTCGAGAGCGTGATCTCAAAGTGCGTCCAGATACGCCCGCCCGGCAGGCCCCGGTGTGTCAGCACGAATCTGTATCCTCTCACACTGCTCGATGCCTGTTGCCATTTGGGCTCTTGCGCTCGGCCTGTTTTGAACAACGGTTGAGCGCAAGTGCTTGCCCTGGGGCCGTGCGCCCTCGAAGCCGCGCGTCGGCGGGTCAGCAAGGCGCCACATGACCTTGGGGCCCTCTTGGGGCCCTCTTGGGGCTCTCTTGGGGCTCTCTTGGGACCCTCGCTGGTTCCTGTCCCAGTGGTGGTGGTGTTGGTAGTGTGCGCGTCGGTTCGTGCTCATAATTGACGGCGGGCCGTGTGGTCCGCGCGCGCTGGCGCCTACGTCGCCGTGCTGGCGGCGGCGCGCCCGTCCCGTTCGGATTTTTCCCAGCGGCCAGGACATAGGCTTCCTGCCGCTTAGCATCTAGAGAGAGGGGCCCTGGAGGGCCTCTTGTGGCCATCCTGGAGGCTATCGATCAAAGGAGGGGGGTGTCGTACCTTCGAACTCGGCCCTCGGGGCCCTCTTTGGGCGCTCCTTGGGCCGATCTCAGGCACTCTTGGCGCCGTCTCGGGGGCCTCTTGGGCCCATCTTGGGGGTCTCGTGGGCCATCTTGGGGGGCCATCTTGAGGCCACAAGCGCATCGGAAGCGAAAAGGCGAGAAGTGATACATCATTATTTTATATCATGCGTTTGAAGGATTTTGGCTTCTTGGGGTGGTCCTGATGGGGGCTCCAAGAGCACTTGTAACCGGCTTGTGGCCTTCGTCGGGCCTCTCAGAAGTATGTCAGAAGCTATCTTGAACCATCGTAGACTATCTTGAGCCATGTTGGAGGCCATCTCTTCTGAGCCCTCTTGGGGCCATCTTGGGCCATTTGGGACGCTCTAACTCCTCGCCCCCCCCCCGTTTAGACCCAGGGAGGGGGGGAGGTTAACTTCTTCAAAAGGAAGAAGGTTCTTGGAAGAGGAAAGAAAGATATCGTTAGACCGCCTTAGCTTAAGGGGCTTGTGGGATATTGAGCTTCAGGATCACCGTGGTGAAGAAGTCTCAGGCGAAATGCCCTGCACGCCCTACCGACACGTCTGGGGGTGCGACAGGGAGGAATTACTTATCAGGAAAAGGAATGGAGGAGGAGGAGGAGGAGGAGGAGGAGGAGAGGAGGAGGGGGAGGAGGAGGATGAGGATGGAGGAGGAGGAGGAGGAGGAGGAGGAGAGGAGGAGGAGGAGGAGGAGGAGGAGGAGGAGGAAGGGCGTGGAGGAGAAAGAGGGTAGGAGGAAGAGGATGCTCGAAGGGGGAGGGCGAGGCGTGGGTTGAACGGGGAGAGAGGGAATGGCAAGGGGGAGGCTGGAACGGCGTTGGCGGGGAGGGCGGGAGGAAGGAGGGGCACGACTGGCGAAGAGGTCAGGAGGAGGGAGGAGCACGAGGGCGGAAACGGGCCCTGGAACCTCGGTCTCTCCCCGGGGCCGGTCTTTCATCCCCAGCCGCTCCCGGACACCTCCGTGGCGACCTCCTGGCGCCCGCGACCGGGCGGAGCGCGGCGAAGGCCAGAGGCCAGGGCCCTTCGGGAGCAGTCGGACCTCCCTCGGGGGGCGCGGTGCGGCGCAGAAGCTCGAGGCAGAGGCCGAGGCGGCGAGGGTGCCCCGGGGGGCCCAGGAAGAGGGCCCACAGCGCCCCTGGAAGCCTCAGCCCCTGTGGCCCGACGCCGCGGAGAAGTGCGGCATCGCAAGGCATCACGACCCGGTCCTTGCGGCCTTTCTCGAGCCAGGTCGGCCCGTCCTGCAGGGCCCGAAGCTGGCCGAAAGCGCCTGGCGTGAAGACTTACGACGCCCGTGTCTCATGGACCCTCGATCCTGGACCGATCGCCGACATGGCACGCCCCCCTCCCGGTCGACCTTCGACCCTCGATGCTCGACCCTCGGCCACTGGCCATTCGGCCTCCGACCTTCGATCTTAGATCGACCTTGATCTTCGATCCTCGATCGTTTGCCGATCGGGCGCGCCTCCTCTCTGACGCCAGCCGGCGCGGTGCGGTTTTCAGCGACGCCTGGGGCATAGCGAACTACGCACTTTTTGTCGTCGAGCTCGGGTTCAACAGAGAGTTCAGATCTTTTTCCATGTGCTCGCGGCTCCGCCTCTCTGCAGCCTTTGGGATCAAGCCCGGGCCCGACAGGGGCGACGGTTCCGCCGGAGGTGCCAAGAAGCTGGACACGCATTGCGCAGCAGGCCGATCCTGTAGCTGGATGCACGCGTGGCGACGTCTTCCGAGGGCTCGGCCCTTCAAATGGCTTTCTGCGCTGGGCTTCCGCATGCATATGATGCGCGTGGCCCCGAGATGTTCCACATATGAATCCAGTCGCGTGCCCAGACATGCGATGATTTGTTTTTCCAAGCCATCCGGTGGTGTTGGGTCCTCGTTTTGACATCACAGCGCCTGGCGTCTCCTTCCTCTCCTCCTTCCCCTCTTCCCTCCTCCCATCCTACAATCGGTGCCTCTGCTCTCCGCATGTCTCTGTTTCGACATACCCTTGGCACGGTTCGTGGCCGCATAGCGAGCGCCGAGGGCCCCAGAGGCTCCCTCGCATGGCACCACCGCACCAATTTCGGCACTCTCCTCACACGTTTCGTGTCCCCATATGGTGGCTCCACCGAACGCCCCACTGGCTGCGCCCGCATGCCACCGCCGCACCAGTGTCGGCACACCCCTCACACGTTTCGTGGCCCCATAGGGAGCCCCACCGGGGGCCCCAGTGGCTGCGCTCGTATGGCACCGCCGCGCTCATTTCGGCAGACCCGTCAACCGTTTTCGTGGCCCCATGCGCAGCTCCACCGAAGGCCCCAGTGGCTACGCCCACATGGCACCACCTCGCACGTTTCGGCACATCCTTTCCACGTTTCGTGGCCCCATGGCGCGCTCCACCGAGGGCCCCAGAGGCTGCGCTCGCATGGCACCACCACAGTGTTCGGCTCATCCCTCGCACGCTTCGTGGCCCCGAATGGAGCTCCACCACGGGCCCCAGTCGCTGCGCTCGCGTGGCACCACCGCGCCAATTTCGGCAACTCCCTCACACGTTTTCGTGGCTCCCTCGAACCCATTCCGGCAACACCCCTCACACGTTTCGTGGCCTCCTCGAGCGCTTTGCCGAGGGTCCCAGTGGCTGCACTCGCTTGGCACTGCCGCACCCATGTCGGCACACCCCTCAAACGCTGTGTGGCCCCACAGGGAGTTCCTCCGAAGTCCCCAGTGGCTGCCCTCGCAGGGTAATTACCACCGTATCGGGTTCGGCTCACCCGCCACATGTCTCGTGGCCCCATAGGGCGCTCCACCAGAGGCCCCAGTAGCAGCGCCCTCATGCAACCGCCGCACCCGTTTCGGCACACCCTTTACATGCACCCGTTTCTCGCATGCAACCGCAACCGTGCACGCGGGAGGCCCAAACAGCAGTGGGCTCCCAGCGCATACGCAGCGCTACCCTGAGGAAGCTGTGAGTTGCATGGGGCGCCTCAGCTCCTTTGTTCCGATGCGCCGTCTAGGCGCCAGGCTCGCTTGCTTGCTTGCTTTACATGTTTTGTGGCCCCACAGGGCGCTCCACCGAAGGCCCCAGTGGCTGCGTTTGCATGGCACCACCTCGCACGCTTCGGCACACCATTCACAGGTTTTCGTGCCCCTATAGGGAGTCCCACAGAAGGCCTCTGTGGCTGCGCTCGCATGGCGCCACCGCACCAATTTTGGCAGACCCCTCACACGCTTCGCTGCCCCATAGGAAGCTCCGCCGAAGGCCCCAATGGCTGCGCTCGCATGGCCTCACCGCGCCAATTTCGGCACGCCCTTCACACGTTTCGTGGCACCAGGGAGAGCTTCACCGAGAGCGGTGCCCACAGTGTGGCTCGCGGCTGTATATGTTTCTGGGCCCTTCGCCAGGATAGTTGTTTCGCACGGCGCGAGCGGGTCTCCCCAAGTGAGTGTGTGTCTCCATCTTCTTGGTGCAGTCCTCCTCCTCCCTCCTCCTCCTCCTCCTCCTCCTCCTCCTCCCTCCTCCTCCTCCTCCTCCTCCTCCTCCTCCTCCTCCTCCTCCTCCTCCTCCTCCTCCTCCTCACTCTCCTCCCTCTCCTCCTCCTCCTCCTCCTCCTCTCCTCCTCCTCCTCCCTCCTCCTCCTCCTCCTCCTCCTCCTCCTCCTCCTCCTCCTCCTCCTCCTCCTCCTCCTCCTCCTCCTCCTCCTCCTCCTCCTCCTGCTCCTCCGGCCTGGCGCTCGAGAAGGTACCCCTCTCAGCGCATGCCGGCCGGCGCGGTGCGCTTCCGCGACCCCGCGGGCGCCGCGGGAGAGAAGCGGGAGGCCTTCGGGCAGGCTGCGCAGCCGAGGTGCGCGTCTCGTGGGTCGCTGGCCCCACCTCTTGAGGGGAGAGTGGGTAGTCGAAGGCCAGACTGTCAGATTGGATTGGGCCCCAAGGGCCAATCTGGCAGGGCCAAACTGGATGATTGGTGTTATTCGCCAGGCTGGATTCGCGTTGGCTCCCTCACCAGATTGCCCCCGTTTGCCAGATTGGGCCTGCCAGATTGGCGCCAGATTGGCTTCGACTACCCAGTCTTGAGGGGAGAGGGGAGGGGGAGGGAGGAGGCAGGGAGAGGCAGGTGGGAAGTATTAGGGAACAATCAGTTCTATAAGCATAACATCTCGGAGGTCCGCGCGAATCCCTCGGATGGGCGCTGGGGCCTCCTCAGGACACCCTCCCATCATGCTAATAAGAGGCGGAAGGAGGGAAGGAAGGAGGAGGGCGGAGGGGGAGGAGGGAGGTGTGAGTGTTCACTTCTTCACAGCCCTCTTCGTCCACTTTGCCCTCTCTCCCCTCCTTCCCCTCCGCCCCTCCCCCCTCCTTCTCTCGTTCCCCTCCCCTCCTCTCCGTTCTTTTCCTTCTCCCCCTATTCCTCCCCTTTCCTTCTCTTCTCTTCCTTCTCCTCCTCCTCCTCCTCCTCCTCCTCTTCCAAGTCCCCCTCCTCTTCCAAGTTCTCATTAACCCAGGCTTAATGACAGGTTGCCTTACCGCCGCATCAGCTCCGGTGAGCTGGACCGGGCGCGGCGGAGGAAGGAACAGAAGCAGGAGCAGTCGGATGAGCGCGAAGAGAAGGAGGTGGCGACCCCATGCTCAGGAACCACGAGGAGCACGATGACGCCGATGACCACGTTGGAGGACTCGGAGAAGGAGGAGGAAGAGGAGAAGGAGGTCTCGGCCGCGTTGTCCGAACAGAAGACGAAGAAGCGTGCGCCACTCAAGCGGAGCTCCAGCCAGCACTTGGGAAATATGGATGACTCGGCCTTGCCTGACTTCGACATCTACCCAGAGTATTTGCGTATAGGGCCATGGTCGCCAGTCGCGTATGTGTATTTGGCCTGCATCTTCGCATGGCTACTTTGGAGCTCCACCGAGGCCCTGGAGTCCGGAACGATTGCTCCCGGGAGAGGGCCATGGGTTGCACTTGTGATTCGACCGATTTCGATCACGCGATCTGTTGGAGGGATGTCCGAATATCAGCAGATCGTTGACCACACTGGGGTGGGGGAGCAAACAACGCTCAGAAGTTATGATGCGTGCTTTTGTGCTTTGGATCAGAGCTGTGGGTCACATTTGCGGTTGCGTTCGGACCGAGGCCAAGCGACATGCGGGCGAAGGCATCCCTCCTGCTTGAGAGGTCTCCTAAGGTTCCCCAGGGAGGCATCCGGAGGTTTCCTGGCGGCCTCTGGATTGGGCGTCGCGTAATGGGGGGGTGGGGCAGCGAGGGCTGCAGGAAAGGGGCCCTTCAGGGTCCGAAAAGTGCACCTTTCTTCCCCCCATTTATCGCCCCCCCCTTGAGCCAAGCTCAATTCAGGAGGCCCAGTATACGGGCCAGAATCGCAGATCAATTTCGAACCTCCAGCAGGCGGTCAGCCAATACAGCGCAATAAGATTGCCAGAGATCTCGTGGAAGGCACGAGCGCTGTCGGGTGCCTTGGGATGCTACACTGTCGCGGCCTTAGCGCATGCAAGCACGCCTGGCCGAGTCCCGGATCGAGCATTGCAAGGCCGCGCCAGATTCGCCCTGCATGAAGGGACACGCGCTGAGCCGTCCATCCGCTGGCTTATGCATTAGAGGCTTTGCCCTTCGGGCGGTACTGCTCCTCCCTCCCAAGGAGAGCCCTTACAACCAGGGGGTCGAGTTTTTGAATTCCCAAAAACTTGTTGCTGGATTCAAAGAACTTGTTATTGGATTCCCCCCCAAAAAATTGGTTTTCGAATTCAAAGACAAGTTTTTTTCCCCGAGTTCTAAAAGTGGATTTTGAATTCAGAGACCAGTCAGTTGAATTCAAAACAGGTTCTTGACTTCAGACACCAGTCCTGGCATTCAGAAACTGGCTCTTGAGTTCGCAAACTGGTCCTGTAAACTCCCAAGCTGGTTTTGGAATCCGACGCCTTGCGCTCACACGCCCTCTCCCGCAATGCCTGGCGTGGGCCTTCGCTCGGTCGCCGCCCGATGGCCGCCCCGTGGGCGCCTCGTGGGCGCCTCGTGGGCGCCTCGTGGGCGCCTCGTGGTCGCCGCCCGATGGCCGCCCCGTGGGCGCCCCGTGGGCGCCTCGTGCGCTGGCCTGCGCTGCAGGGGCTTCGCCCGGTCGCCGCCGGCGTCCGCCCGTGGGCGCCCCCGTGGGCGCCCCGTGGGCGCCCCGGTGGCCGCCAGGCGTCGCCTCGACCCAGTCCTCCTCCTCCTCCTCCTCCTCCTCCTCCTCCTCCTCCTCCTCCTCCTCCTCCTCCTCCTCCCCCTCCTCCTCCTCCTCCTCCTCCTCCTCCTCCTCGTCTCCTCTCCTCCTCCTCCCCCTCCTCCTCCTCCTCCCCCTCCCCCTCTCCTCCGCCTCCTCCCCTCTCCTCCTCCTCCTCCTCCTCCTCCTCCTCCTCCTCCTCCCCCTCCTCACTCACTCACTCATTCATGGCGGTCGATCGAGTCGTGCAGCCACCTTTCCTGCCCCCGCCCCACGGCTTGACCCGGTGGGGGGGGGGGCTCATTAGGGAGAGTGTGAGAAGACGGTCAGAAAAAGACTGTAAAGGGGCACAGGGTTAGACAACATGTGGGGCTCGACCCTCCTCCTCCTGCTCCTTCTCCTCCACCACCTCCTGTTTGCACTGGCGCGGCCCAGTGCTTCCCCTGACGCGGGAGGAGAGGTCAGCGGCCGAGGAAGGCCGTGGCAGGCCGCGGCAGCCCCCCTCGTGGGCGCCTCGTGGCCGCCAGGCTTGCAGCACAAAGCTTGCCACACGCAGCCTGGACCGCACAGCCTGCACTGCATAGCTTACACAGCATAGTGTGCACCACGTTGCTTGCACCTCATAGCCCGCACCACAGACGTTGCAGCACACATAGTCTGCACCACATATAGCTTGCACCACACAGCATGAAGCTTGCGCTACATAGTTTCGCCACATGGCTAGCGCAACATAGCTTGCATCATCTGGTTCCCAGGCAGCTCGCAAAACCACAGTGCACAGACTCACTGTTGGGGCCCGCTTCGAACTATGGATCCTCCCTCTCCTTCGCCTCCCCGGCTTCCCTATCGGCCCAAGCTGGACCCAGAGAGGCTCCCCTGGGAGAGTCTCTGCAGGGCCACAAGTTCGGCTTCGCGTGCGCAAAGAGCGCTTCCAGGGACGCGCGGCGGAGCCCGCCGCGGATCCACACAGAGTCCTGGGACGGCCCCCAGACAGCCTCAAGAGTTCGAGCAGGAGATCGGCTACATAATTGATCTACCCCAGAATGGACTCCTTTGTCGAACCCACGCTTAATTCATATAGTGTCCCGTCGATATGCTAACATTCCACGCTTTACTCGTGGACTCGACGGAGAAATCGATTTGGGGTTTTGGGGTTCATGAATTCTGCAACCGATCCACTACTTGAAGAGTCCAAGAGCCGCGCAGACGGCCCCAAGAGTCTCCAAAAGATACGCTAAGATGTCCTCGCGAGCCCCTGCAGGGAGACCCGCATGGGTCTTCTCAGCCGCCCTCTGGCCCACCCCAATCACCTACACCAGCACCACGAGGGTCTCGTGACGGCGCTTTTGGGTCATGCTCGGTTCCAGCCTTTGCCCCCTGCCCCCAAGCCTGAAGAGGAGAACAAGGGGGAACAGGACAGGGGAGTTACGGGGTGGGGGGAGAAGCAGTGGGAGGATCCGTCTCTGTCTCCGTCTCCGTCGCTGTCGCTGTCTCTATAACATGGTTCATTTCTAAGTTTTCGAAAGTTCTTTGATTTTTGGAGCCAAGATCCTTTCATTTCTAATTGTTATATCCTGGGCCTCGTTCTGGCCACTAGGGGGCCAGGAACAATTAGAAACGAGCACACTTAGTAATGAGCACGATTAAACATGAACGACGTGTATCTCTATGTCTCTGCCTCTTTATCTCTGTGTCTCTGTCTCTCTCTCTCTCTCTCGCTCTCTCTCCTCTCTCTCTCTCTCTCGCTCCCTCTCTCTCTCTCGCTCCCTCTCGCTCTTTCTCTCTCCCTTCCCCCCGCCACTCTCGGGGTCCACCGTGAAGTAATCACGACTCTGGAGGGGTGCCAATACGTTGTCCCGTGCAGTTCCACGGATTGCTTTCGATTTGAATCCAAAGACAAGCCGAGAACACAAGACGTTACTTTGGCCGATTCTTTCTGCCAACTTTGAGTCCAGGAGCTTTGGTACCATCGGTTCCAGGAGGTTCATGATTACCCCCTCTTCCTGTCCCCTCCCCTTTGTCTTCTTCTCAGGCGTTCTTCACTATCAGCCAACACCCCTTCTCCTTATTCTTCTCGAAGTTGATTGATCCGTTGGGTCAGCTCGGATCGATACTCAAGTTCGGATTCCGACCCTGTGATATTGAGCCGAGAAGTTTTCTTCCTCTGTGTATATTAGAGCTGTGGTCTATCAGTTGTTCTTGTTCATTTGACAGTTTGACTTTGCAACTTCTTGTTTTGGCCCAGTGAGACTGGTTTTCCCAAGGGCGTTCTATAACCGCCATCACGCCAAATCTGATCACCATAGTTGTCATCATCATTATCTTCAATAGGTTCATCTTCGTTCCTGTTCATCACCGCTATCGAATCATATGTATGACATGCTGTCCATGTGCTGTCGGGTTGCGCGATTGGCTGGCTGTGATCACCAGCGAATTCGGCCGGGGCTGAGGTCTATGTCCACTGGACAGCCGTGAAAGCGGTTGGATGGTGGCCTTACGTGTCTTACACGATGTGCTCCTATTCTTTACTTAGCGTTCGCTTCATACTGGTGGCTCTCGGAGGGGGCGCAGTGGCTGAATTCATCCGTTTTCCAACGCTGGCGATGAACTCGACCACGACTGTGGTGTGGTGGGCGCTGATAGCGCCTGCGATGATGCTTTTCATGCCCCAGGGGAATGCGAGGCGGAAGTTCTTAGAGTGGAATTTCTCGTTCTTTTTGGTTAACGTCCACCTGCTCAACTTACCCCTGGCGCTGATCGACCATCACCTCACCTGGAGGCCGCTGGGCCTGTGGGACATCTGGGCGGGTATCATCACCGCCATGATGTACTTGGTGTTCTATCTGAACGTCCTCGACAAGCGTGGCATGCACTTCTACATAATCCTCAGTCCCCGGCGCGCCTGGTGCTGCGTCCCTGGCTACACGGCGGTACTGCTGGTCTATTTCCTGAACTACTGGCTGCTGGGCTGATCGCCATGGAGGGGAAGGGTCCTGAGGGAAGACGGGTCCTAGACCCCGAGTTCTCTCCATAACTCGGGCCAGGCGATAGGGGGGGATTGGGAAAGGGGGGATTGCGAAATTTGCTGCATGCAGCTGGTTTCGGCCTCACCGAGGGGCCCATTCCTCGATACATGGCCGCCTCCGGCGCCGGGAGGCGCCGGGAAAATCAGCTACGTGAGCTGATTCTCAACCCCCCCCTTTGCTATCCCCCCCTTTCGCCCGACCCGAATAACGAGCTCCTCCTTTTCGGTCGGGCTTTGGCAGTCCCGGTGCCCGTGGAGTGCCCGGGGGTTCAGGGACACTTCGAGCGCGGGGCTTGCCCGCGGTCCTTTGCAAGGGAAGAGGAAGGATGAGGAGGGAGGAGGAGGGAGGAGGAGGGAGGAGGAGGGAGGTGGAGGGAGGAGGAGGGAGGAGGAGGAGGGAGGAGGAGGGAGGAGGAAGGAGGGAGGAGGGAGGAGGGAGGAGGGAGGAGGGAGCCTGCGGACTTGTCCTCGGAGCCTTGGGACATCCTCCCCCCCCCCCCCCGGCATGTTCCAGGGAGGGGCCGAGAGGAGCGCCAGGAGGTAAGTCTCGCAGGCCTAGAGGTTGACACCAACACCAAGATCGGCGGCGTTCCTCCACCGAGGGAAGACAATCCCGATCTCGGTGATGGTGGTAATATTCTGGCTTCCAAGGTGACCGAAATATTACCACCAACACCGAATTCTAGGATCGTCTCCACCCTGTGGAGGCAGCCCCGTGTCTTGGTGTTGGTGCCCATTTCCGGGCCTCCAAAAGTCTGGAGGAGCGGGGGGATGGGGGCAACGTGTCGAGAGTCGGGGGCGGCGAGCAGGGGGGCGAGGACCAGGGGGGTGCGGCTGTACTGGTCGGGGCCATGACCTCTCTCAGGCTTCGCGGCCCCCTTTGCCCCTCTCACTCCGCTGGCCCCGCCCCCCCGCTTCTCCTGGCCCCCGAGAGGGGCTCGCCCTTGGAGGGTCTGGTGTGGCACCTTCCAAGAGAAGGCCTCGCCCTCGAGGGGCCGACAGGCTGCCCTCCTCTGGAGGGTTTCTCCGAAGGGCTTTGGTGACCCGTCCTCTCTCCTCCTCCTGCTCCTCCTCCTCCTCCTTCTCCTCCTCCTCCGCCTCTTCGGGTCGCCTACGGCCCCGGGGGAAACCGTCTACCCTCCTCCTCGCCAGCGGAGGGCGGAGGCAGGAAAACGAGGGCCGCGCCGCCAGCGGAGGCCTGGCGAAAGGCTGGCGGAAGCCGGCGGAGGCAAGCATTGAAGCTGTGAGAGCCGGGGGTCAGCCAGAGCGCCAGCTCTTCCGTAGACGCGCTAACGGTGTGTTAGCTAACGGCGACGTAGGAAACCCTGTTGTCGGAAGGCATGGTTCGTGGCCAATCCAAGTGTAGGAACGCGTGGTTCGTGTTTTCCTACGACTCGCTGTGTCGTTTTCGTTCGATGCATTCGCAAATCTGAAAGGTAGGAAACGGTGTTCTGTGATTTCCTGCTTGCCTACTTTTTGTTTCGCGCGAGCTCGGTGTCACAAGGACAATCTTCCCAACCGCACTGGCAACCAAGCGCGCCGTCAGCGCGGCCTTGGAGGACCCGGCAGAGCCAGGGCTGCACTTGCCAGGGCCAGCGCGCAGGAGCCGGTAGGATCCACTGGATGGTATCTTGCGGGATCCTGCAAAGCCCGACTGGCCCAGGTGTTTGCATTGACCCGGGTCACTGGCCCGGGTTTGCTTTGCCCAGGTCAGTAGAATTGGGGACCCCAAAGCCGTGTGGTGACAGTCCGGGCGGTGACCTCGGTACCCCAAGAGACCTCACCGCACGGTCCGTCACCGCACGGTCTTGGGACCCTGGAGGCCCCTGTCGCCCGAGACATCCTCGGAGAGGGACTCGAGTCTCAAAACCGTGCGGTGACCCCGAATCCCCACCGACTCACCACACGGTGTGGTCACCACCTCATTTGGGGGCCCCCGATAGAAGCCCTGTAAACATTCTCTCAGAGGCTCGGGGGCGCGCAAACATGGATTAGCGATCCATATATTTGGCGCGCGGTCACCAATTCCATGGATCGGGGGAGGTGCCCTCCCCAAAATGCGGCCGCGGCCGCCTCGTTCGGCGGCGGAAGTCCACGATTTCCCATTGAAACGGACCAGTCGCTTATCCACGCTCCCTTCATCCTACTCCTACTCCTTTTCCCTCCTGCTCCTCCTCCTCCTCCTCCTCCTCCTCCTCCTTCTCCCTCCCTCCCTCCCTCCTCCCTCCCTCCCTCCTCCTTCTCCTCGGGTCGCCTACGGCCCTGGGGGAAACCGTGCAGGTGCGCGGGGGCAGGATGTCAGGCTTCTCTTCCGGCATGCCATGAAGCAAGCTGTCGTCCGCCTCGTGCGTGCTCGTGGGTTCTCGCATCGGCTGCAGCTACGATGGTGTCGCGATTGCGACTGGCTTTTCGCTTGAAGTCGGGCCTGTCCCTCCACAGGAGGAGTATTCACAAATAGTCAAAACATGCCCAGGGCACGATTCTTTGGGGGTACTTTTTGACTACTTTTCATTTTTCGCCCAAGATCCGCCTGTAGGAGGACATGCCCGACTTATTTCTAGATAGCCCTTCACGAAACCTCCCGATCCTGACGCAGCAGGAGGCAGTGCGACCAAAAGGAGGGAACACACGGGCCTCGAAAAGAGGTGCAAACTCTTCGTCGGGTTCAGAGCTTCTGGAACGGGCCGACTGGGCGTTGGCCGAACTTTCGGCCGAATCCCATCATCTTTGTGGTGCTGGGGTCGCCATGATTGAAGAGAGAGCACCGATCCGGCCAGATCCTGGGCTCAGAGAGGGCCCCCTAAACTTTGCTGTTCCATGTGTTCGCCGCTCCGAGCGCTTGTATATTTCGTGGCGCCGGGCCCCTAACAGCCAAAAAGTCGGTGACCGATGCAACAAGTCGGTGACCGAAACCGTACCGACATATCGTTTTCGTTTTGATCCGAAGGTGTCGGTCACACGCAGGCGCGTTCGGAAAACATCGGGCACCGGTTTCGGTCACGCTCGGGCATATTTTCGGGCACAGCTTCGTTCACTGCACTCCCTGATAGAGACGAGACTACGTGATCTATTCCCGCGCGCATGCGGGGTAAGGAACTCGCATCACACAGCTCATTGGCATTCCAACACGTCCCAGCGTGACGAGGGCACGGTGGCTGGCCCGTAAGCTGGCGTCACAGCACATTATGATCGATTGGTCTATTGGCCGTGCATGTGTGTGTGTGTGTGTGCGTGCGTGCGTGCGTGCGTGCGTGCGGCGTGCGTGCGTGTGTGTGTGTGTGAGAGAGAGAGAGTTGTCCTTTGGGTGTCCGTGAGGGTCCGCACATCTCCCCCCGGAGGGCCCCCGTGAGGGCCCCGGAGCACCGCCAGCGGAGCCGACGTGGCCGGAGATGCAAGGCGGGAGCCTGCGGAGCGGGAGCCCAGCCCGACTTCGGACAGGAGCGGCTCGAGACGAGGGTGGAGGTCCCCCAAGGCTGTTTCCAGCACGTGCTTGTCTCGAGCAGTGTGTTCTCGTGTCTCCCCCTGGCGCATTGATCCGAGGCGGGAATTTATCCATAACCACCGCCTTTGGGATCGATCTTCGCGGACCTCCACAGGCGGTGGATCTGGATATATTCGGGCCCCCGGGGGCCAACATGTATCCATATCCACCGCCCGCCGGGGCACCAGGACGTCGGCTCCCAGGCGGTGGATATGGATAAATCCCCGCCTTGTAATTTTGATGTGTGGAGGCCAGACTCAGAAGTCGACAGCCTGTTTCTCTGAGGCAGATGCCCAGTTGCACCGATTTTCCCACAATGCGTCTCACAAGGCTTCCAATTCTGACCGCTGCGGTTCCGGTCTGAACTGCGTGAGCTCTAAAGTTTCCCGCAAGAGGCGTCCAAAGTTGACCTTGGGTGTGCCGACACCTTGTGCGATACCTGTGTCAGCCGACATCGGCATGATTGCCACTTACGTCCAGCGCAGCGTGTTACAGTAGAACGGGGCTATCAGAGTAGCAGCCCGCATGATGTCGCGCGCTGGGAAAGTATCCTTCAGCGCTTTGCTTTCCCCTCCCCCTTTCCTCGTCATCCTCCTTTTCCCTCCTTCGTCCCCCCTCTCCTCTGATTTTGAGCACCCTGACGTAATCCCGGCATTTTCCTTCACCGCGTTTGTCACAGCTGTCCGAATTCAGAGCCCTACGATGGTCGACCATGAATACAGCACGTACAACGACGCCAATGTTGTCGCCTACGCCCTGAGTTACACGTTCACCTACGCATACTATGTCTGTAATTCCCGCTTCTTCTGTACCCCGCAGTGTCTTTTTAGTTTGTGTTAGCCAATGCAGACAAGGTAGTACACCACAGTATCCATACAGCTCCGACAGATCATAGGCACATAGTTTATCTGTAGTGCTGCATTTCTTGCGTTGGTATCACACTTGGCCGCACCCACCGACCGCGGAGAGGAGACACAGTCCTCACACAATTTTGATGCACCACGCGCAGGAATTCGATCATGCGATCACCATGCCAAACAATTCAACGCTCCATCTGTCTAAAGTGTCTTTTGATCACGAGCAGCATTCTATTATCCGATCGTCTACGATTTCGCCTTCGCTTTCATCAGCATTTCCGTTTTCAGCGCCGTTGCCTGTGTCCGCTCCCATGTCCCAGCGGGCCGCAGCGTTGGATCCTGAATGTTTGCGAAGCTCAGCGCCGTAGGACACGGCTACACTAGGAAGACGGACACACATGACGCGGCCGACCTGGGCGAGATTCGGATACACATGTGGCTCGATGTCTTTCCAGTGCTCGGCCCTTCTATGGCCGTGTAGGCAGGACTTCCGCAAGCATGTTTATCCAGCGGGTGGCCCCCACATTCGACGTGAATCCGGCCGTGTGTGTTTCCAGCTTTCCGGCAGGTTCCGAATCTCTTCGGTGCAATGCTCTCTGGGGCACTTCGACGCGTTCACCTGCAGCGCCGCCGCCTACGCCACATTCTCGGGCCCAGATGTTGCTCTGGCTTCGGCATCCCGGGGCCCGCTTCCGGCCCCAGGGCCGTCAGAAATCGATATGGGATGACAAGCTAGTCAGAATGGATCCTGGGATGGGGTACGGGAATTGAGTTTGAGCGCACCATGGTCGCTGGAAGAAGCGCGAGGGAGAGGAGGAGAGGCTCGAGGATTTTTGTTTTTGGGTGAACTCCGATTTCTCCTTGGCCTTCAGAGGCTTCTGGGGACCTAGGAACTCCGAGGGCCTCAGGGGGAGATGGCGACTCTAATATCCATCGACCGCGCGGAAGCGCGGGCATGCCAGGCGACAGGGGAGGAGCAGGAGGAGGAGGAGGAGGAGGAGGAGGAACGTGATATGGAGGAGGAGGGGAGGAGACGAGCACGAGATGGAGGAGGAAGAGGGGTACGAGATGGAGGAGCAGGAGATTTAGCACGAGATGGAGGAGAAGGAGGAGGAGCACGATATGGAGGAGAAAGAGGAAAGTGAGATGGAGGAGGAGGAGAGACATGCGCAATAACGGCAAGCGACAGCGCAACTAGTTGCGTCCGTGGCACGGAACTGAATCAGTGCAGCGGGCATTTTGCAATCCGACTATATTGCTTCGGCTCCTCCCGCTCCTCCTTCTCCTCATCTTCCTCTTCCTTTTCCTCCTGCGGAGTGCAGGCACTCCTTATCCTACTTTCTGCTCCTGTCCCCCTCACTGCTCCTCGCAGTGTTAAAGGGGGCCGATGACTCGCAAGTGCGATCCTGCTTTGACCGAAGCTCGCAACTGTGTGTCGTTGCCGCCACGGCTCGTCCCTGGGACGAGGAGGGCGGACGAGGTTGGTGGTGGTGCTGACGATGATGATGATGATGCTGCTGCTGCTGCTGATGATGATGATAATGATGATAATGATGATGATAAAAATAAAGACAGTGGTGACGATGACGATGAGGATGATGATGATGCTGATGATGATGCTGCTTCTGATGATGCTGATGATCACGACGACGGTGGTGATGATGATGATGATGCTGATCATGAGGATGATGATGATGATACTGATGGTGACAGTGATAGAGATGATGCTCACCCTGCTGCTGCTGATGACGATGAGTCTGATGATGGCGATGGTGGTTCTGATGATGTGGATGACGATGCTGATGATGATGATGATGATGATGATGATGACGATGATGATGAGGATGCTGCTGATGATGATCATGATGATTCTGAGGAGCGTGAATCTGATGATTATCATGATGAGTCTGATTATGATGATGAGTACGATGATGATTATGATGATGATGGTGATGATGCTGCTGCTGATGATGCTGATGATGCTGCTGATGATGATGACGAGAATGACGATGATGATGCAGATGCTGATGATGATGCTTATTCTTCTTCTCCTTCTTATCGTGACTCTGCTGACGATGCTGCTTCTGCTGCTGATGTCGATGCTGATAATCGTTATGGTGATGCTGATTTTGGTGATGATTAGGATGACGGTGAGGATAACGATGGTGGTGAGGATGATGGCGAAGATGATGATAATGCTGGTGATTAATGAGGATGCCGACGATGATGCTGATGATGGTGGTGGTGAAATTGATGATGTGGATGGCAATGCTACTGCTTTTGACTATGATGATGATTGTGATGCTGACGGTGATGATGCTGCTGATGCTGATGATGATAATGATGATGATGCTGATGAACATGATGATGGTGATGATGATAACAATGATATGATGATGATGATGGTTGTGGTGATGGTGGTGATGGTGATCATGATGGTGATGAGGTCGAGGATGATTATGATGGTGGTGATGCTGGTGATGATGATGGTAATGATGATGAAGATGAGGATGAGGATGACAATGATACTGATTTTGATTATGATGGTGATTGTGATCACGGTGATGATGATGGTGATGATGATGACGATAATGAAGATGACCATGATCGTATTCATCAATGTGGTGATGCTGATGATTATTATGATGATGCTGATGATGATGATGCTGATGATGATGATTATGATGATGATGATGATGATGATGATGATGATGATGATGAAGATGATGATACTCGTTAATGATTTGGGTTGTGGTGGAGATAAGGATAACGAGGAGGAGGAGGAGGAGTATGATGAGGAGGAGGAGGAGGAGGAGTAGAATGAGGAGGAGGAGGACGAGGAGGAGGAGGAGGAGCAGGAGGGGGAGGATGAGGAACGGCGCTGCTTTTGAATGCCTCTGCAGCCTTCCAGGGGACCTCCACAGACCTTCGGGGGCGGGGTTCTGGCGCTCTCGGGGCAACGCCTTCCAGGACGACGTGGTCGAGGCGTTCTTCCGCGAGAACCCGGGCGCCGAGCGCTAGCGGGGCCTCGGCCGAGAGTGTCATTCGTGCCCGAACGGGCCGTCAGAGAGCAGCGCGCGCAGTCCGCGACAGGTGAGGTTTCCGGCTCGCGCCATCGGCCCCGTTTTTTTTCGGCACGGGGCGCCCAGGAAGTCCCGACCTTGTCCACGGGACCTGCTTTTCATCCTCGGTTGTCTTGTTAGTGGCCCTGGGGCCCAGCGGGGGCGAGGTCCGTTCATATTTTTCACGACATCTAATTTCTGTGGCGGGTGGCAGCCAGTGCAGTCTGGCAGTGGCGGGAAACTCTCGGCCCCAGTATGTCTGGAAGAGAGAGCACGGCCCTGGCCAGATGATGAGACAGCGCCAGCGTCGTGATGACGCGGGCGTTTGTCCCTGGAGCCGCGTGCTTCGTTCAACCTTGGACGATTGCAGCTTTCCGATAGCGCTGATCGTTTGACGTCGGCCGGTTCTTGGCCACCAGCGGCGTTTTAGCGTGGAATGCCTGAGCTGGGGTCGTCGCCGCGTCCACTCGGCGCGAACCTGCCGATCTCGGTCCCCCGCAACAGCGGACAGGAACGGGTTGAACGAGGGGGCGCCCTCGAGTGAGCTTCCGTGTGTGTTTTTCGCCCCGGCGACGATGGACGGCGATCGATGATGTGGAATAGCCGTGGTCTGCCGGACAGTCGAGTTCGGTTGATGGGTCGACCCTGCAAACTGAAGGGCACCATTGTGTCGCGTACATCGCGTCTCGTGTCCTTTGCACTCGTGGGGCCAGGGTATTCTTGTGTACTCTGGCTGCTTAGGGCCGTTTTGCCCTCGGAAGAGTGTAGTGCGTGTTCTGCGCGTCGGATGCAGTCGTGGCAAGAAGAAGCCTCGAGGAGGCCCTCAAATGACGAAACATGCCAGGAAGGGTCGCCGTTGTCTCTGCTGGCCCTCCTCCGACTCTCGTGTGTCCTCTCCAGGCCTGCTCGTTCGCAGGCAGCCTGGCGAAGAGGTTGCGCCAAGACAGCCGAGGCATCGACTCCAACGCCGCCGACGCGCTGCGGAGGTGCGGGCGGCGGCCGGCGACGCCTGCCGCGGGGCCGGGGGAATCCGTGGCGGCCAAGGGCCCCCCAGTCTTCGATGACGACGGCGATGATGGTGATGGTGTCCTCGGTTGTGATGATGACGGTGCCGGTGACGGCCATGCGGTTGTTGATGACGGCGGCGGCGACGGCAACGGCAACGGCGATGATGGCGACGAAGACAATGACGATGTTGTTGATGATGATGATGCTGATGATGATGACGCCGACGATGATGATGATGATGATGATTATGATGCTGATTACGATGATGATTATGATGAGGATGGTGGTGATGCTGATGCTGCTGATGGTGATGAGGATGACGATGCTGCTGATGATGACGAGGATGATACTGATGATGATTATGATGATGATGATGATGATGATGATGATCCGTATTATTATTATTGTGATTATGCTGACGATGCTGCTTCTGCTGCTGCTGCTGCTGATGATGGTTAATCGTTATGCTGATGACCATTGTGGTGATGATGAGAATGATGCTGAGGATAACGATGATGATGATAAGGATTGTGATGATGCTGCTGCTGCTGATGATGATGATGATGATGCTGATGCTGCCGATGATGATGATGATGATGATGATGATGATGATGAATCCGAGTCTGTTGATGATGGCGAGGTGTTGGTGATTACCATGGTGATGCTCATGCAGAGTACCATGATGCTGATGATGATGCTGCGGCTAATGATAATGATGATGATGATGATGATGATGATGATGAGGATGATGATGCTGATGATGATGATGCTGATTTTGATGCTGATGCTTCTGATGCTGATGCTGCTAATTATGATGATGCTGATGACGATGGTACTGATGATGCTGCTGATGATGGTGATGTTGCTGATGATGATGGCGACGACTATGATGCTGACTATGATGATGATGGTGGTGATGCTGCTGACGATGATGCTGCTGCTGATGATCATTATGATGATGCTGATCGTTATGATGATGACCATTGTTGTGATGCTGAGGATGATGCTGAGGATAACGATGGCGATGATGATGGTGATGATGATGCTGCTGATGATGATGATGATGATGATGATGCTGA